AACGATCGCTTATGGCTGCACACCTCCGGCAAATGCGGAGACGTTCTGTGAAAAATCAACGCTTCAAGTGCTTCCAGTAAGGAGCTAGCGGGTCTGAAGAAGAGAGAAGATGAAGAAATATGATGATGACACGAAATCGTGAAATCGCGTATGAGCGAATTCTCGCGTGGACGACTGAAGGTGCGTATGAGTTCTTGGGGGACATTTATAGGTAGATAGAGCCCGTAGACTATGCTAGTAGTTTTGAAGGCCTAGGGAGTGATTCTCACCGAGATTTTAGTCGTTTTGTACGCGGATCACGTGAGATTTCACCCGTGTCGTCCCTATATAGAGAGTCTACCGACTCTCTGATAATTTATGTATCTGCTAAACTTCCCCTTCTTATCTTTAGGCTACTAGTTATGCAAGCTGGTATGGAGGGTGGTTTTATCAGCATGGGATGATTGTATAGCGCAACCTAATGTGGTTCTTTAGCTTACCTCTGTTATTGTAACTCTTTAGCCAGGGTTATCTTGTACATATATCGTTAGCTTGGCTGTAGTGGTGCATGCATTGCAGGGAGCCTGAACACCTGAGATGGACAGGTCTTTTCTGCTGGTCTTGTGTCTAGTGACACTGTCTAATGTACAGCTGGGACAGTCTCAATGTGATGGTAAGGGAATAGATAATGCTTGGCATCACAAAATACTGGATGTGTTTGCTGCAGTTGTGAGGATTGCAGCAGCTGTGTATGAAGTTGTAGGACGAGGTTTGGAGACTATTGAGAAAGACATGAAGAATATGAAGTCTGACATGGCAAGCCTCAGTCAAAAGGTTGATAATCTCACACAAGAGGTTGAGAAAGTTTATAGTGGATTTAGTTCTCTGAATGAATCAATGAGGGATGATTTCAGAGGTGTCGAGACTGAGTTAAGCCGTGTTAATGAAATCATCAGTGATCTAGGTGGACACCTACAGACACACAGCCAGCAGACTACATCTGCAGTGACTCAGCTTGACACTAGACTGAGTTCTCTGAATGAATCAATGAGGGATGATTTCAGAGGTGTTGAGAGAGGGTTAAGTGGCACAGCAAACATGATATGTGACAAGATTGAAGAAAATGACAATCAAATCACTACTCAACTGATGAGAATGAACCAGAGCCTGACAGAACAGATCGTTAATAACAGTGTTCGTTACGCATGTGGAGGTACTGCAAACTGGAGACGTGCAGTCTACCTGGATATGACAGACCCCAACACCAACTGTCCCTCTGGCTGGCAGCTCACTGGATACTCCAAGAGAACTTGTGGCAGAGTTGGTACTGGACAGAGGACTTGTGACTCAGTCTTCTTCCCTGTCAGTGGAGGGCCATACAGTCAGGTGTGTGGCAGGATCAGAGCCTACCAGTATGGAGTACCTGATACCTTCTTTGGGTATAAAACAGGTAGACAAACTACAATTGACAGTGCCTATGTCAGTGGTGTGGCTGTAATGCATGGCAGTCCTCGACAACACATCTGGACATTTGCTAATGGAGCATGGGGGAATGATACAACATCCCAAGTATGGAACTGTCCATGTGACGTTGAGTGTATATACCAATCCCACCATTTGTTGGAGAGGATTACTTCTGTGAGTCGGAATGTGTTTTCCTGGGTACCGAAATAGTACTGCAGAGTACAGATTCCACTCCAATGACCCTCTCTGGGATGGTGAAGACTGCCACTCCACCAGTACATGTTGCTCTTTCCACAATCCTCCATATTTCACCAAAACCCTCAACCAGACAACTACTGATGACCTTGACTGAGAATGTGTTCATATCATACGATAAATACTGAGACATGGCCAGTGGACTGTTGAATTGTACGTCTAAGTAGTATACTACTGACTGAAAATCATGGTTGCTTAGTTATGTAAACTAGCAGTCTGTCTGTGTGCGAATTTAGTTGTGTGTGCGCATGTGCATAGCTTTTACGCACGTGTTCGAAATAACGAAAATCGTCTGACTTTTAAAATATGGAACTAACGGTGTTTGCAGCAACACGACAAGAAGCTCCCTCTCTCTCATTAGAGCAGCCTCTATTGCAGCTCCAACCCGCCAGCAACCGCTTCTCACAGTCCTTGTCTCGCTCCGGGAGCTACGGCTGTGCGCGCGCCATGAAGAGAGAGGAAAAATGATGTCATTACCGTCCATGAATGAGTAATGGTATCAAGATCAAGCTCGTTGAATCTCACTTTCTCCAACTGAAGCTCACTTTACCGCATCGCGTCTTCCTCTCTTCCTCTCGTCGTCTAACTCCGCCATTCTCGCTGCTACTCCTCTCCCTTCTCCTCTCCTTCCTCCACTCCCCCTCGATCATAGAGCACACCCTCCCTCCCTCCCCTCCTCACACCGTCACCTCCCTCCCCACACGAGAACAACCTGTAGCCAGACCCACTAGCACGAGGTCTGACGATCAGAATTCTACTTCCCCACTCGAAAATCCTAACAATTTAACAAATGTGGAGTTGGAAGAAGATAAAGATCTAAACGAGGACATTTTTCAGATAGAAAAGTGGAAAATCTGAGAAATGATTCCACAACACCTGTGAGGCCAAAGGTCAGTGGGTGTGGCAAAATAGGGAAAACATCACTTAATGATATTCACGATGTGGGAAAATTAGGAGTCAAGCGAATGTTGGTTGATATGAATGGCGAACAAGAGGAAGATGATAGCGAATCAATGGATTGTGGCGATCTAGAGAATGGAGCTGATCTTCGATTGTCAGTTGGTGTCAATTCCGCATTACTTGCGTCAGTCACTGATCGGGATGATCGCTCGAGATCAGGGACACCCCCTAATCCACCAGGCTCAGAGACAGTTCCTGAAGCTAAGAGAATTAGACTTGACCCACACACAAACAACAACAATAAACAACAACAACAACAACAAAATGAAGAGCAAAAGATGCCACAACAAGAATCACAGGTTTTGTCAAATTTGGCTAACAGGACTAGTAAGCCTCGTCAAACCAGTTTCATAACCTCGTCAATCCGGTTTACCAACAACAAGTCACCTACTCTAGTCACGTCTGGTGGCCCAGGAGAGCAGTCAAACCAGTCAAACAAGTCCACAACCAGTTCTAGTGACTCGGTCAGACCAGTTTGCCTCTGGGAAAACTGCATGAGGTAATGTTAGCCATTTTTCCAACTGGCTTCCATTGCTATGTAACATCTGAATAAAGGGGGGCATTGAAAGTATTAGCTAGAACCAAGTGTCCTTTATAGAGGTTTGTTCTAACTCTTCCCACAGTATGCGGTACTC